CAGGTTACTGAATATTTAATGTTAATTATTCGAGAATTTCGAAATGCAATAAGAATAATAACCGCATATACTGTATATTCACTTGAAATTTATATCATATGGGGGTGTTCCGAGTCAGAACAGTATCACATGATATATCACGCGATGTGGCGCAGTAGGCACGTTTATTAGTTAAATTATCGGAGAATTACACAGGAAAATTTTTTATGATATATGAAACTTCATCTCTAGTTAGATCAGAAAAACTGGATGCAGTAAAAGATCTAATATTCTTGATTTTATCTTCTCCGATTTTACTAAATATATCATAAATTTTTCTAGCCATATCTGTTCTTTTACGCACTATAGCATCTTTAGTTTTTTCCGGAAGCTTTTCCTTAACTTCTTTATTTAACTTTGTATGCGCTGTCTGTGGGGGGTTGTTCTTGAGCAATACAGCAAGTCGTTCTGATAGAGCTCTCCCAAACCGAAAGTAGCATTGAACTACCTCCTGGTTTTCTTGATCCCCCTTCTTTTCAGCAATATCAACGTCGTAGTATAGTTTATGGAATTGATTAGAAATTTCACCAATATTGGTAGTTTCAGAAGGAGCGCTGATTGATGGTCCACTGCTAGTTGAAGCAACAGATAACTCTCGAATAATTGCTTTGGGTTTTGTGGCCCTTTTAGATTTACTTTTATGAGTATCTTTTTCTTGCATCTTCCTTTTTTTCTTGGGTGTTTCGTTGGCTAAAACAATAGGCGAGATATAATATCCTTCTTTTTCCAGATCATCAATAGATGGACATTCAGGACATAGCTTACGCTTATTGTCAATACATTCGAAATGCACAACGTGGTTACATGGCAATAATATGACTGGCTTCAAAATTTCCGGGGAGATTACTTCAGAACACTTGGAACAATTCCTGGATTCAATCTGAGAGGCATCTTTGTTTTTGGTAAGATCCACATAATTTGGATATATTGTTGGGTCATATGCTAAGGTAGGGTTAAAAATAAGAGTTGTATCTGGGGTTATTGTATTCTGGCTTTGACTGGATGTCATTTGTGGCGAAATTTGCATTGGGTCCGAGGTACTTTGCTCAAAAGTGCCAGAATAATGCGTATAATCAATAGATTCAATTTC